AATTAAATAAGATAGAATTAAAATTTTATTTTGAAAAAATAATTTATTAATATTTATCTGAGATACAAATCTTTTTACACCAATCCATAAGCTATTAAATACTTTTGAGTAAACTTTTTCACTAGATTATCAAGCATATATATTTAAAATTTTATATGAATTAAATAAATATTCATTGAATATAACTAAAAATAAAATTTTTTGTTACAGTCTGTATAATAACTTGGATAATATAAACTGATAAAATTATAATTTATAATAAAATACCTAAAAAATTATTTTTAATTTTAAAAATCATAAATTATATTTTTCAAAAGCAAAAGTTTTGTTTTATTATTATTAAATTGAAGTATGAAAAATAATATAAAAAAGTTATATAATGATATGCTTTATTTAATATGAAATATTATTAATATTAGTTATATTTTACTTTACTTTATTAAAAGTAATTATTAACTTTTATTTTCATGCATCTATATTTTTGCACTAGACCATAATAAATTATATATAATACAGAACTAATTAACAACATATTAAATTTAAAATAACATTGTAAAGGAGCAAAATAATTTAATTTAGTGTAAAATGATAGTAATTACAAATACATAAATAAGTTATCATTTCGATCTTATATAATTAATGTAATTAAAAAATCGAATATTCGTTCTTGATTCAAAATATATAAAACTTAAATACAATAGTTATAATAAGTTATAAAAGTAGCTAGATGCAAAGTTAGATGCAATGTTATTTTTAATGCAGGAGAAATATGACAAATTGTTTAAGATTAATTGATTAGCTTCGAGACCTCTATTAACACATAATTTAATACATAATTTTTTGTTAATTTTTATGAAACCGTCGCGAAGTTTAATTCTTTAAATCGAAAACCTCTTAATCAGAATTTAGAGTTTAGCATTGAGATAATTAATTGACCAACGAAATTTACTGCGTCAACCCATCTTTACTGTAAATACTCTTTATGTTGACATATTTAGCTGCATAAAATATATGAAAATATAAAAAACAATCTCTCAACAAATATAAAAATTATAAAGCGCGAGAACTAAGATATTTTATGTATAATTTAAATGAAGATAAGTTTTGTTTTCGCAATTCTTTAAAGAAGTTTTATTCTGTTTAGTTACTATTAAAGGAAAACATGTAATAGATTCAAGAAATGCCGTATTCTTCCGATTATAAGCACCACTTTTTTAACTAAATCCGATGCTGCTTAATCTGAAAATTTTAAGGTTTGATTTAGAATATCGATATCGATATGGTAATCATGGAAAACGAAATTAGCAAATCTAGATTAAATAACGATAATGATTATTTAGAATTGTCATAAATTTCAATATTCATCCAACAAAATTGTGAATAATAATTATAATAATTTGTATTTCATCATTTCGCAGACAATATATGAATTTGACCTCTACATAATCATAACTTACAGTCTTTCGTATCCTGAAAACGTAGGACAGGAAATGAAGACTTGCAATACATGTAGTATATACAGTGGCACCAGAAAATCATTATCACGTGATAAAATCATCTGATATGGTGTGACCACAAGAGCAAATAAAAATCTAACACATGTAACCAGACTTTGTGCGTCCGGGGAACACATTGACTTTTCCTAATTCTACATTTGTGGAATAACGGTGTAAAGTCGGCCAGGGAAATACAGCAAAGAACAAACATCGGCCTATCCACTAACTATTATAATTTAAAAAAATTGGAAGAAAAAAGGGAACGCGGCTCAAAAAAAAGGTCAAGGTAGACCGAAAAAAATTACCAGCTAGCACGATAGGTGCACATATACGATACAATCCTACAATTTCTGTCAGTGGTTTAGTCAATAAATTGAGTTCGAACTCACCTCATTGCTCACGGTTATAGAAATTCCCTCCCGCTTGCTACACCTATGCTTACAGATAATCATAAGAAAAAAAGAATTGAATGGGCCCAACAACACCTTAATGACGATTGATCCCGAACACTTTTTTCTGACGAGACATCATCAAATATTTAGGAACAACATTACTCAGTGGTATAAACATGCCCGACCCGTCTGACGTATTCCTAAGAACCGGCAAAAAATTCATGCGTGGGTGGATTTTGTGTACACGGTAAAACAAGCATTTACTGCTTTGTGAGAAAGATGGACGCAAAATTTTATGCCGGAATTCTTCAAGAACAATTTCCCGAGGTCGAAGAAATGATGGGGAACAATTGGCGGTTTCAGCAGGACAACAATCCAAAACACACAAGTCGTTTAGCCAAGCGTTTTTTTCAAAGCAACGCGTCCGTCGTCGTTATGGATTGGCCGTCGATCTAAATGTTATCGAAAATTTGTTGGTCAATTGTTAAGAGAAACGTGGATGACCGGAGTCCGAGGAGTTAAGGTCGAGGAATGTGAACGAATCCCAGACGAGGTATTAGAATCTTTAGTCGATTCGATGCCGGGGGAGATGTGAGGTGATAATTAGGGTAAATGGCGAACAAATAAATTATTAATTTATATAATAAAAAAAAATTAAAATGATTGGATCACCAGTTTCCGAGAAACCGTGATTTTTTGAACAAAATACATTATAACAAGATTTCTATTTATTTTCGATTGTTCTAAATAATAGGTATTCACGATAACGATAAGGAAAAAAGTATATTTCAATCAAAACGATAACAACAAATTTGATTGATGCATGTGTTAGGTGTAATTGATACATGTGATTGATTGGAAATTCCAATTGGAAGAAAATTTTATCATCCGAAACACTATTCACTATTGATATTGTAAATAATCATTTGTTTCTCTAATAATAGAAAATATGATTTCCTGCAATCAAATTTTCGTATGGATATCATTGATACGTACAGAACATGAAACATTGTTCATTGCCCCGTCTTAGCGGCCAAAACTGGTAAATAAATTAGAAGGGAACCTATTAACATTAAACAATTAGAGTTAAACTTAATTCATAAGGTTACGTTAACCGATGAATTGTGTTACTTTTATTCGATATTTTTATGAATAAACGCATCGTAACTCGTGTTAGTTTAATAGGTTAATCCTCATAAAAAGATGAACTTTTTTCATTAGCCCTCAAATACATGTATAAGCATTTTCTTCTTTTTCTTATTAATTCCACTCAATAACAACGTTAGCTTTCTTGAAAATCAAAGTTGCTTGCATTTGCTTTCTTCTTCCAAAAGAAACATAATAAATGGCAGTACTTAAATCTATAATAATAGCTTTTGTAACATTGGTAGCGTATTCATCACTTGTATCAGCTGATGCTACGCCAAAAGGAACAAAGAACGATACTCAAAGCGCCGTCGCTACATTTACCCAAGGAGTAACTGGAATTATTACTTTCCAAGGATATTATGACAACACTACAAAAAAAACCAGCACTGTTATTAAAGTTGACATTCACAGTGGTCTGAATAATCACACTGGAGTATATCCATATCATATTCACGTAAACCCAATTACCAATGGTAATTGTACTACAGCTGGTGGACATTTGGACCCAAAGAGTATGTACATGCACATTTACATGTATTCCCAATTAATCTGGTCCTGTGTGTTTATACAGAATAATGCTTAAATTGAAATTTTAATTCCAGATGTAACCGATGCATACACTTGTGCACCACCAAATCTCGTCGCATGTCAATTAGGAGACTTGAGCGGTAATTCTTTCTTTAACATTAACAATAGATAATATGTGTGAATGCATTCTAACTTAAATAATATATTATAGGTAAATATGGTAAATTAATACCTGATAGTGAAGGCAAAAATAAAACTAGCGAAGTCGATGAATTTCTTTCTTGGACAGACGAAGCTTACTCAATGCTAGGTCGTTCAGTCGTAATTCATTTTCCAAATGGTAAGCTCTTTTTGCTTTACCGTTAAGCTGTATTTAGGGTAGAACTAAATAATACTCTATCTTCTTCAAATACTTATAGGAACAAGATACGCGTGTGCTGATATTAAATCAAATATAACTATCAGTGATATAGCACAATCAGGCAACGGGACCTTCACCTCCACCTCCACCAACAATCATACCACTACTAATAATCCCACTACTAATAATCCCACTACTAATAATCCCACTACTAATAATCCCACCAATAATCAAACGAGCGCTAGTAACAAGAGCGCCGTTAACTCCGCTAATAACATAAAAAATCTTTTATGGATGAATTTATCTTTTACCGTTATCATATCAAGTTTAATCGCTAGTTTAATGTCAGCTAATAGTTTAGTTTTTTAATCTACCCATATACATATTTATATAAAATAAATCGAAAATAATCATAATAGTATTAGAGAATATATTGATGGAACTTGTTTCAAGGGAAAATGCATGAGCTTTAAACCATCATCTGATTTCGTTTAGACTGGCACAGCAAATATACATTACAGCATATAAAAGTTTGCAAATAAAGATATCGCATTTCATAATATTTGCACTTAATATTGATACAAATAATTGTAAAAGAGTCTTCAGTTGATGCTTTCAGTTAATATTTCGATTGCTATTTCAAAATTAAAATTCATTTAACGTTTAATTAACAAAACGGATTTAAAAACAAATACATGTACGTAAAACTTCTGATAATTGACAATTTGATCCTTACTGAAAGACAATTCGAGCATTTCAACAATATTGAACTGCTCGAATATCAATTTATAAACAAGATGTAAAAGCCTGAAAAACGTATAACAACGGGACGCTCAGCTCGAAATATTGTTATTAATTCAATAAAAAGATCACAAAAAGAATCTAAAAAAAGTATACATTTTTTTGGTTAATATCAAATTTTTTTTCGTAATTAATTTTAACCTAGATGACATGTGTTAATAATTTTAAATTGAACAATGTTATTAAGATTTCTTTAAATCTAACTATTACATGTAACATCTTAACGATTTTTCTATTTGCATTCTTCTTTATAGATGATTTTAGATGAGTGACTTATGTAATCGAACAAAATTTCTTTTTAAAATATGGAAGGAATGATGAGACATTATCGTTATTCCAATTAAAAAAATCTAATTCTTTTGATACTTTCGTGATAATTAAGCATGATATACCGATACTGATGATCTTTAATTATATTAATCAAATAAGTTATTAATTATGGTCCACCAAATATAAAATTAAAAATTACTTCTAATAAAAATCACTCAAATTTTGACTAATCTTTATAATTTTTTTATATTAAATAAAAAATGATCTAAATTAACTTTTTAAACTATTTTAATTATTCTATTATACTTTAATTTAATAATAAATGAAGCATTACTTTACTAAAAAAAATCTTTTTTTTTTAAAAAATAGACATTTTAAATATTATCACTATCACTTTACAATATTAGAACTTTAAATTATGCAAGTAGATTGCTCTAGATTTGATAAATATATATTCTAAATTTCATAAAAATTGAATAAGTACAGTAATGATCAAAAGTAATGCAACACAAAATTAAAAATTGTTAAATCATGATATATTTATAAGTAGCTAACAAAATTTAAATAAAATTAATAAACATAGTACATTAATAGTACCAGTTCTTATTTAACAAAATTTAATTTACTATTATTAAACATAATTTTGAAATAAATACACAAACTTGTACAAATATGTGTTGCATTTCTTTTGATCTTTTATTTGAAAAATCAAATGATAAGTAAATGCTACATAGAAGTCACAAAATAAATAACTATTTTATTTTCTTTTTTTTTCTTAAATTATATTATAGCTTTTTAATAATAAAAAACAAATATTAAAATGTTATATAACTCTTGAAGAAAGAGTTAAAATAATCATTTTATTTCAAAATAGATATATCACAAGAAAAATAACAAGAACTCATAAAATTAGTTCTTTTACTATCTCACATATTAATAAAAAATAGTATAAATAACATATTTTAAATAATTTAAGCAAGTCTAATTATCCATAGTTATTAAATAATCAGTTAGAAAGAATAATAGTCCATTTTATTATATCTTATAACTATTTTACTGCTATTATCATTCAAAATTATCTTCATAAACTGAAAATATTGAAATTTCAGAGCATACTATTCATCATATACTAAAAAAAAATGGTTTAGTAATAAGAATAAAACAAAAAAAATCATATCTAAAATTCAAATATCAATAATATTATCTCAAGTTTGTCAAAAAATATAAAAACTAGATCTATAAAGATTAATCAAAAATAATCTAGTCTAATAAATCTAAATTTCAGATTTTTAAATCTGATAGAAAATAGTATATTAGAAAAGAACAGGTGAATTATTAAAAAGTTATTATATTAAATTTACAGTAAAATTTAATAATGAAAAAATAATGATATGAGATTATTTTATCTTTTATAATATTAATAATTTTTGTAAGATTAATAGAAACATGAATGATATATTATATTAACAAATTCTTGAAAAAGATCTTATGAATATTATTGAAAAATATGGATTAATTATCAATAAGATTATTTTTCAATAGGATAATAATCTCAAATATATAATCAATTTAATAAAAGAATGATTTGATAATAATAATATTACTATTTTAGATTAGTTAACATAATCATCTAATTTAAATCTAATTGAATATTTATAGAATAAAGTAAATCATCATCTTTGATATCTTTCTAGATTAATTTCAAATATAGAAGATTTATAAAAAAAAATACAGCTGGTTAGAAGGAAATTGATGTGAATTATTATACAAATTTAATTTATTCTATATTAGAAAGAATTTATAATATAATAAAAGTATATGATAATTATATTAAATAATAATATATTAGATATAGTTAAAAAAATAAAAAAATATAATATTTTTATTTTATATAAGAATTATAGAAATTTATATTAAAAATAAGCAAATATAATATAATACTAAAAATTAAATAAATATTATGATTATAATATAATTAGTTTAATTATCTATATTGAATTTATTATATTTAAGTTATTTATAAATATATAATTAAATTTATTAACTATAATTTGATATTCTTAAATCTGTGCAAAGATATCATGATTTAATAATTTTAATTTTATATTATATTACTTTTAATTATTACTAAAAATAATAGCTATAATTATTATTTTATAATACTTATATTATAATTATATATTATAATTTATTAAAAAAATTTAATAAAAATTGCAACTTGTCATAATTTATTATAAGTTATAACTTATTATAACTTATTATAATTTGTTATAACTTATTATAACTTATTATAACTTACTATAATTTACTATAGCTACCATTCTTATAATTTATTATAATAATATTTTAAAAAATATATTTATAAATTTTCATGATTTTTAAATAATTTTTTATCAAAAT